CAGTTACGTCATCGGATAGTCGAACACATCCCGGTGTGGCTTTAGAAAGCGATGGACGACAAGTTTGAAACGGTTACGTCACCGAATGAGCAGAAAAGACTTAGATCTTTGATAACACAATATTGATTCAAATAAGAAAATATGTTAATCCAATTCACGCAGTTCAGGCCATCCGCAACACAACNCAACAAACAAAAATTTCCTAAAATTTCCCGAAGCTCTAGCCGTTCATGCCCTCAAACCCCGATCTATATGAACAACATGAATGGTTACGAATGTTGTAATGGTAATAACACATCAATGTCAGTAGAGAATTGTATTTGCCAGCAGGTTTTACAAATAAAACCTGTCTTGAGAAAGGTTACCCATAGTAACCGAAATGTCGGCAAATACCATTTTCTGCCGACATCGGTATTATTATTATTATTATTATTATTATTATAACATTATAACATTCACAATAAAACAGCACACAGCGCATCGTTTCTTCGATACACTCCTAATATCATAACGCGAGTGGTTAGTTACATTAGCATTGCCTCGATGATTGGCCCTCCACCCTCCACCCTCCCACCTTCCCTCCCTCACCCACCCACGGTTTTGTGTTGCTATGCCGTGTTGTCCGTTGTGATCGGTGATCATGTTTTCATCTCACTGTCACTATCTCACTAATTATAAATAGTCACTTTGACTGCGTCATGCATTACGTGTTCAGATGCAGCGAAATGCTCATAGATACATTATGCAAACCCATGCAAACCCAACTTTTCTGATCGTATTTATGACTGGAAAACAGTACTCTCAGCTCCATGAGTTCGAGATCTCAGTTTGGCTGAAAAATACATGGAATTTCGCTTGCTTTGGAAGTGATTATGAAAAATTTAATTTCGACGTGAATCCAGTGCTAACAGTGATGCATGTGGAAATCGTAGATTTTCGCGTCATAGTGTAAGGTCCCCATCTGTCGACAGTGAAAAATAGTATTTTTCGCTGCTCTTCTATGGTATCCTTACGAAATTAGTTCTTTAGTCGCAAACACACAATTGTGTATTTGCGAATCTGTGGTCTCCTTCTGTGTATACTCTTTTACTTGTTCTTGCGGAACAACGTATATAGGCCACACGGTCGGGAGATTGTCCGAACAGATTCGTGAACACCACCCTTCATGGTTGAACACCGGAACGATGAAGTCACTGAGCAGTGCAGTGATTTCACACCGAAG